ATTTTATGCATATTATAGAAACAAAAAGTCTTAACTTTCTTCAAAGTGCAAAACCAATTAATAGTAGGTGAAAGATCATCTGACATTCTTTCATTGTCAAAAGTTTTCAATGTTCCTATGTAAAAACTAATAGAGGTGGATTTGAAACAACTTTACTGGTATGAGTAGAATTTGGAGATTTGAGCCATGCACCTTTTCCAAGTAAAGCTTGAGCATGCATATCCTATACCCACCAATGAAATTTTTAACTACAGCTAGATTCCTTTGTAGAATACTGCTTGTGTAAGTTCATCAATGCATGCAATACAGAACCTCTCTTAAAAGACAAACAACCTCATCAAGGTGGGTCGGGTGTTACAAATGAAAGTTTTATATCTGCACTGAGCATATGTAGGCAATGTGTTTTGCCTGGATATAAGTTCCATCATCTTGAGCAAATCTGTAATGAAAATAAAATCATACTTAAATTCATACTGCCCTTTTTTCTACAACTAAGTTTAATTCTGAAGATCACCTAATGCTCTGGAACAAGTTAAGCCTAATATAAGCTATATAAATAGCATTAACCTAATTTTACACATCTTTCCACCCTGACTGTAAATACTGATGTAACATGTCATTTAAGCATATCAGTAAAATTATCCTTATGTACTCTTATATCCACTGTATAGTAAGAATATTGAGCTTTGAGGTCCACATTTACATGCTCAAGCAGGTAAGACCATTAACCTCTCAGGCAGGGTTTTAGTAAAACCTTAACTTTTCCCATAGTCACCTGACGTGAACACTAAGTATTTTCCATGCTTCAATGGCACAGATATTGAATCTCAACCACCGCAATTTTCATGGAACAGAAGACCTGACACAGAAAACAGAAACATCTCCTACTGCTTATGTGTTTGAAGAAGTTCTCTCTTTAGCTAAGTGACTAAATCTAGGAAGGTGCTCCTACCTTAGGGATTACTAGCTGACATGTGCTTCTCTACAGATTGGAAGTACATGCTTACACTACTACAAAAAGGAAAGTATTTAATCTTGGAATCACTAAGCATTAAATTCGTTATGCTAACCATGAACTCTTGACTTTTTTTTTCCCAGAAGGTACTCTTCTACAAATTGCAAAGTTAAGAGCCACACGGTTTCTTTATGAAGCTGTCCTACAGCATTTATTACCAGATTACAGGGAAAAATACAAATCAAAACCCAGAACACAATTAAAAAAAAAAATTCCAAAACATGAGTAGCACCACAAAACCCTCCCAAAAAACCAAGAAACCCTGCAGCTTATTTTGTATTTGCTATCTACATTTAAAAGACCCTTTATTCACTCAACAGACCTTGACAGCTTTATGCAACCTCTCAGTCTGGACTGGTTGTATAAGAGCTCTATGCTTAAGGTAGCATTTATAAATTAGAGATCAGGCCTTATTTGATGATAATGCTTTGGTAAATCTCATCTGGAGGTTCTTGACGTACAACTAAAATACAGTGCCAAATTCAGCACTTGGTAGCACAAGTATATATGATTTATTCCTCTGAAGAGTAAATCCAGTCCATAATAATGAACATTTCTACATGCTCTTTAAACCAGAAGATACTTCATTCCTCATTTTCTGTTTTTCTTCCCTCATTGTTTACTCATCAAGTACCAGATAAGATACATGTGCAAACCTTAGTGGATTAGAAGCAAAGAGACTGCAGCACCAGGGAAAATACAAACATTCTTTGTTGCACTAGGCAGTGTAAGAATACACAGAAACAAAGGACATGAAACATTAGGATTAGTAATAAAATAACCACAAAGTCTAAGTTGAATTTGTAACAAGAAATTACTTGTTTTATACATTACATTGCAAGGTGTTTTAGAAACGTAAAAAGATCTGATTGTTATACATTTCTATGGCCATAAAGTGCTACATACAGCTGCTATCCCATGTGTATAAGAACAGATATATAACAATCTTGCATCAGCTTTCTTTTAACATATATTTGCTTTCAATTTTTTTTAAAAACAGAAATTCATTCTTTATTCTGATGAATAAAGACTTACAAACCATAGTACAATGATGTTTCAACAGATTAATAATTGATTGATATGCACAGACATGAAGTTTTTTGTAATAGTTTCTAAGTAGGCAATTCTTAATGAAAGAGAAGCTTTGTCCTATAACCAGGCTAATTTATTATTGCTTACCTTAAAAAAAAAATCTATTATCGGAAAGAACTATAAATAACCTTTTGTCATAATGTAACTGTAAGATCAGCCTTTCTTGCTTAAACTAACAAGTTAAGTTTGCTCTTGTATATATTATAATTCCTACTATTATCAAGAGAGGCTATAGCATCATAGGTAAATGATCAGCTTTGCTTAGTTAAGTTTTAGCACAATAGTCAAAATTCCCATGGAGGATGAGCATGTGCGGTGAGTATTATAAAGAGCAGTTAAGACTAAATCAGAGCTGTATTTAAGGCCGAGTACAGAATACAGCAGATTAAAAAAAAAATTTAAAAAGCCACAGACCCTTTGTATGAACGCTTAGACAGGAATCGCTTAACTCAGGCATAATGTCATAAATACTACTGCATCACAGATGCATTGTGTCAAGGAAACATGCACTCTTCTGCAGCATTTGGAAACCTAAGCATCTCTTGCAGCTCTGTGGAGACCCACCTTAACTGAAGGGTAACAAATCACTCTCACACATTTGTATGTCCGCTGTTAACAACTTGGAAAAAAAATGTTCAGAATAAAGCTTAAAGTAAGAATTCTGATCAGTCAATCTTTCTAGCCAAGTCTGGAACAGCAGCACAGAAAGGAGGGAAGCTCTAAATAGCACTTAATATTGGGTCCTCAAAACACTACAGAGGGTACTGGAAATTTCTGTGCATAAGCGTGTCTCTTCAGTCAGTATCACCCATGGAAAAAGTACACTGCTTCTTGAAGCTTTGTACTAAACTTTGAAAAAATCAGTTTCTAATGAAGATCATTGTTCATATTTTGTTAATTTTGATTTCTATCTCAAATCACCCCTAAAATATTAGCTGTAAGACACTCCCCACAAAAACAAGAGATCAGAGACTACATCATGCTCCGCCCTGAGAGTCTGTAGTCCCACTTATAACTCTCCTGAAATGAAGTACTGTTTGGAACACAAATTACAGAAGTTTTACTGGTAATTTTTCCCATCACCTTCTACAGAAAAATAAAGCAGACCCCAATTCAATAATCAGATTAAACTAAAATAATCCTAAATTGAACATATAATGCCCACAGATGCATCAAAAGTATTTTCTGAAAATACATGAGTTTATGCTCACTACAATCAGATATATATAAATGGGTAAATCTTTAGAGAAGTCATTTGACAGCATATGCTAATCTCTGTTTTGAGGTTTAGCTACAGTCAACTGAATATATATGAAAATAAACATGCATACATTATCAGTAATTCAGTGTCTTGGGTATTTAAGCTTCAAATTTACATGTGTATAATTTAACATAGTAAGTTACACATGTACAATAGGCACACATTTCAACCAACAAAGACAGACTTTGGATCAGGTTTCCATTTTGAAATACCCATTATGTTTATTTAGCTAATATTTTTAAACTCTTACTTCTCCTGTAAATATACCACTCTATTACAGAATTATAAGCAATTAAATGACCCCATTATTTATAAGTCATAGAAGAAAGCTGTGTTCTCAGTAACCTGAGAAGAACTTCTATAGATCATATTGAATGTTTAATTAGAAACTTCAGTTACTCATTTACTGAGGACACATTCTTCCCCTATTTCTTTCGTCCTGATTTTGTCTGGGTGGTAGTTAAGGGCAGCGAATCACATACATGAGCACAGGTACTATGAATTTACTGTGCAGAAGTAAACATACCAGACATGGATAAAATATGGAAATGGCAAGTTTCGCAATAGCTAGTGAAAGAAGAGTTATTGGGTGTATACTTAAAAAGAGATATATTTTTATTTTTAAGAACAGACAGATAGAATCTGTGTATCTAAATAAATGGGAAATTCAATTTCATACTGCTGTTTGCATAGAAGCATGAAAGGAAAAATGCACTTATAATTATCTCAATTTTACTGCACATTTTTGGTAGAAATTAGACTAGAATATGCACATTTTCTTAACAGCAAGATTAAAAGTGGATTCTTGATGCACAATCAACTTCTGTTAATATGAATTCTAACTTGTTATTAGGAAAATACAAATCCACCAATATTTTATTTACTTTGGCTGGGATCCAAGAACAGAGAAAACCAACTAGGGTGTTAGTCTACAAATACTAAATGATCGCTTTAAAGAGGGAAAGAACAATCCTTTCTCCAGATCCATGACAGGGAAGATGGGAAACAATCAGTTTCAGTTGTGTCAAGAACTATTTGGAGTAGACATCAGGCAAAATTTCCCAGTCTTTTCTCACTGGGAAAGACATCCTGTGTAAGTTCCAAAATGACTGTTCTCAGTGCTTTTCTGTTAAACAGGTGAAATAAATCTGTCAGGATCAACTTAAGACTACTTTAGAACAAGGACATAACGTCCCTTGTAGCTCTGCTTTTCTACAAGCGAAAAATATCTCCTAATATGCATTTCTTTTGACTGAAACAGACCTGCAAAGACATTTTAACTGTAGCCCTGCATAGCTTCATCTGACAGAGTAAAAATATTGCACTTCACACAGTTTAATATTGTTCCCAAAATAAAATTAAGTCAAAAATTACTAATTCTTTCCTCTGGAACACAAATTTCAGAAGATGTTACGCAAAAAAGTGTGGGTAAGGTTATCTGCAGACATTGCATTTTTGTTCCAGAGGAGAAAAGAGTCTCAAGTGCACTGCAGAAAATAAAACTTTCAAAAAATGCAGAAATTATCACCAGTTCCACTGCATAACCTGCATCTGTTCTTATATAAAAAAAATAAAGTATTTTCATTAAACTTTATTGCACCATCACCTTTTTTTTTAAAATATCCCCCATCAAGTCAAATATTAAATTATTTTTATCAACAAAATATAAGGTCTTCTTTAACAGCATGTAGATACAGTATAGGCGCTATACAGAAAAGTCTTAAAGAATGACATCAAATCAGAAGTGACAGAAAACAATCATTATGTTCTTCTCTATGATTAAAAAAAAGATTGTGTAGGCTATTTATTGTATGCATGAAAAGCATCCCTTCTCATTCAAGGTGTTGAAGCAGGTGACACCTTCAAGCTGTCAAGTGCTGCATGAATTCTGAAGTGCAACCTGGACTCCATAGAGTATTCCTTGTAGTTGTTTCTGCAAAACAGACAACTTATTTTAAGAAAAAGATGTTTGGATTGAATTGTTTAAACTTCCGATGTTTGTAAGTTAACAATCTTTATTCCTTCAACAGGAAGCGGAGACTGACACACAGATGAGTTATGAGATATTTAAAACTACATCCACAAATTGAGTGAAGAAAACGTAGACCAATACTAAAATTAAATGTCCTCATAAACTGAATCCATGTCTTAGCATCTCTTTCACTTATTTTGATCCTTTTAACAGACCTCCCAAATACTAAAATTTGCTGTGAAAAGACAAGCCAAAGTCTTTTCTAACTACAGAAAAGGGTATTAGTAGAAAATGTAGGCTTCAACTCAGAGCACAATTCAGCCAGAGTAATAAACATCATATGTACAGAAATCATATTCTGTAAATCCCATCCCCCCAAAACAAACAAACAAGCAAAAAAACCCCATGAGGGGACACTATTGCAAGACTGGGCTACTTCTCCATTAACACAAGGGACATTCTATCTTACACTACAATCTACAGATGATGCAAATATGCTGCTCTACAGTACATTAAACTCTCAACTGGTCTTCTGCAACACCATGTGAAAGGAAAAAGGGGTGCAGTCAGACAGGTGTAGTGGCTTTTGACCTCTCTTATGAACACCTTTAGTGGAACTGATTTAATTCCCACAGCTTCCCTCTGGGACAGAATGGTGCATATCCCTTCCCTGGACTCTCCAGCTTCATCCCATGCATACAGTGGACCCTCAGCATCTCTGAAGCCCATACAAGAAATAAACATTTTCCCTTCATACTGTGTCTTATTTGAATCTGTCTACTCTACTGTGTCTGAAGGACAGTTTCATGAAACTGCAAAATTCAACTATATTGGACAAGTCCTGCAAATCAAGAACAGAGATTTATAATTACTTGGATTTTGCAAGGAAGCTGTCAGGAAGAAAAAAACAAGTGTCCTCAATGCTGCAAATACACATTTATTCTTAATTTACAAAGTGATAAAAAATCCACTTACTTTGCTGTTTCTATGTATCTTATTGCTTTTTCTGTCTCATCCTGCTGTTTGTACAGAAGACCCAATTCATACAGTGTGAATGGCACCAAGTAGCTATCATATTTTATTTGCTTCTCACTAGAAAACCAGAAAAATACAAAAATGGTTACTTACAACCCTGTTTTAAGTGACCAGTTAACTTTAAAAGCAATCACTGTCTGTAACAGCACATAGCCAGAAAAAAGATTCTGAAGCCTTTTTTACTGGTTAATTCTGTACACATTGATAAACAGTCTTGAAGCACCATAGTGCCCTAAACATGTAGAAAATAAAGTTGAACAAAATGTAAGTACTCCATGCACCAGAAAACTTTTACCCTCACCCATGCAAAACATACACTTTATGAAGAACTGTTGTCTTTAGTTTTTTTTTTTAAATACATCAGCTATAAAAGCCTTCCCATTGCCAACTCCCTTTGGAAAAAGATCTTTCAGAAACAGTGTTCCTTTAACTTTTAACTTGCAACCAACCAAAGCCTCTGCCCTGTAACTTGCAATGTGCTTAACTAAACTCACATGGGACCTTAGAAACAGTAAGAGAAAACAAGATGGCAACACAACTAAAACACATTAACAATAACTCAATAACAAATTGTATTACTACTTTTTCTAAATAATTTGTTAGAAACATTGCACATGTAAATATGCTTCTTCAGCCCAAATACCTAAAAACTTACAAGACATTTTCAAGTACAACCAGTACTGGACTCATGTTTTATATAGAAAAGCTCTTACAACTGGTATGGAGCTGACACCTGAAAATCCACAGCACAGGAGAAACCAGTCTTCAACTGACACATGTAACAACAACTTCTCATCTACATGGGGAAGCATTAATTACTGAACTGAAGCATTAACTACTAAATACTGAATTTAAAAAATAAGCCAAACAAACACTAAACCTACCTGTATTGCCATTACTTACAGGTAGCTCTGCAAATACAATTCCAAATGTATTTGGATATGACCTGACAGTTTGATTTATTTAGCCTCAAACACCACATATATAAAGCTACAGTAATCGTTAAATTGCTGCAGAAAAATACATGCAAAGTCTTCTGGTTTTCTACTTTCAGAGGTATTTTAATTCCAGGTCCTTAACATGATGTTAATTAGTCAAAATTCTAGCATGACAGCTGCAACAGGAGTATCAGAAATGTCACCAAAAACTAGAAAATCTATTTCTGTTATTTTTTTACCTTTGAATTACTTTACTGAAACATAATTCAGCTTGCATGAGTCTTCCCAAGTGTTTCAGACAGAGGCCTTTCAGTAGCTGCAACATGCACACATCATCCACATAGTATTCACTGTGATCTAACAGTAAAAGTGAGATATGTCAAACAATTTGAAGACATCATGAAAAAGGAAAATTAGATTTTCAATAGGGAATATATATTCAGACGCAGGATGTTGCTTCTTATGTTCTATACCTCAAAATGTACATATCCTTCAGGCATGGTTTAAAATACTGTTTACTAAAGAAGATGCATCCATGACATCTGTATCTTTCTCTTAAAAGAAGGCAAAGAAGAAATAAGAAATTGAAACATCCAACAAATGGGCATAAACTTCATTAACTAAAGATTAAACAGTCAATAATTAAATATATTACATTACATAAATAGTCATTAATTAAAGATTTCTTACTTGCCTTACTTAAAGACTTCTTACTTCTTTATAGCTAAAACTACAGTGAGACAGGAACCATCATATTATCTTAACAGCTTCCCCTGTAACAGAGCACTGGCAGACCTCCAGTAGCATCAGTAGCATAAAAAAACCTGTAAAACCACACCATGACTCTCTTACAGAATTCTTCAAAAGCATCATTTTGCGGTACAAATTCAAGAAACAATGTTTACTAATATTTTTATCATCTCTAATGTTTGAGAGGTCTCAGAAGTAGTGCATAATATTTGAAAAATATTTGAAAATAAGTAATAGTGTATAATATTTGAAAAACTTTATTGAAAGTCTTATGTTCAATAGAGCTAAAAATATCAGATGAAAGAGGGTGTTTGACTCAATTCAAAATTTACTTAACAAGTGTGATCCTTTTTAGTTCCCTTAGTTTGTAGCATTTGCTGGGTACATGGAAGGAAAAAAAGGAAAGAAAACACATATGGATAGACAGATGGCACCACATACATTAACAATTCAGGAAGTAAAACACTCTCCCTTCAGATCATGTTGTTTACAACTAATTACCAGCTCTCTAAGGTCACATTAATTTTTTTCCTTAATAGTCTGCCAAAGAAATCCTACATAAACAGTTCTGAAACATGCAAGACTAATGCATTTTTGGACTCCACAAAGTGCTTTGCGCCATCATGTTCAGCCTTATTTCGGTCTATGTTTAGACCCAGAAAGTCTTGATAGATTGTAGCTGACAGACTGCGCTTTTAGGGACAGCAGAAGTGCAGCGCATGAGTATTTTGCATTCTCTCTAGCCTGTTCTGCTAGGCTAAGGTGTTGGACTCTATGACTGTCTCCTGAAGGACTCATTCTTTGAAATAACTGGGGGCATGCACTGATGTCAGTTAGGGCTCACCAGTCTTTCAAAACTTCAACTAGTACTCTAATTTCCCAAAAGAATAGAAGCTAAAACATTAACACTAAATGCACAAATAACAAATGCACAGGCCAATTTAACACAGAAAACCTTGCAATAAATGTGGGAGAACCATCTTTGCAGCCGCAGTGGTCTACACCAAAGGATATATCAATACCAGGATAAAAAAATAAGCAAAAAATTATTTTTTCTTGAAGTTAAATAATCTGTTTTTATATATTGCATATGAAAAAAAAAAGATTCCCAGAAATCCTGTGGAAAACAAAATAAAAACACCATCTCTAATGTCCTCCATTTGTTCCTTCTACCATCTCTATTTTCAGCTCTATACAACATAAAATTACTTTCAGTCCTTGAGAGATTCCATGCTGCGCCTGTTCATGTGGAACAAATGAAGTAAAAGCAGTTCCGTGAAGTCTCAATCCCAAAATGACCTTTGTGTATAATCAATACCCTTCTCACAGCACCTTAGCAATCCTTTGATATTACTACCACTAAAGATGGTCTATTAAAATTATATTGTAACCTTGTCATACTCTGTCAGCAGCCTTAATTTTATTTTTTTTTTGGAATTCAGTAGCAACTCTTTATTTTCACTGAATCCATATCTTTAAAAGCAGATCAAAATCACATATATGAAATCCAGAATAAAATTACATCTGACTGAAGTTATTACTAAAAAAACAACACAGAAAGTATATACTCTTCCAGACTATATCCTATTTGCAAACAGTGAATTTCCATAAGAAAAAACACAGTGATTTTATCTCCATTGCTTTAGTTTTGGTACTTTGTACATCTTTCCTCAGAGATTCGATAGGAAAATTTACTTCACTGTTACAATAGATGAGCACTTCTAGTACAAATCACTGCACAATAAAGCACTGGATTTCCAACAGGTTCTGTTAGAACCCTCCATGTGGAACTCATGGGAATTACTTTATTTGCAAGTATCTTCCATATCACTACACTTTTGTTTTAATATTACAAGAAAAAAGGAAAACACTTGAGATTTAAAAGGCACACAACTGATTCTGCAGAAAAGTGAAGGGCAACACAGAAAATAAAGGAACCCCATTCAAACATGGCCATGCAGGTTACTCTCATTTGGTTTATTATATCATCCAGATTTGACCATTATAAATTCCTTGTACGCCCCTGTATAATTTCTTAGGCATCGCCTCAATTTACACTATAAATCATACTTAGATATATATTACGTTTCAGAATTGCTGTTTTAACCACTAAATTGTTCATAAGTGTGACTTATGGTTTAGTGTTCATAACTGCTAAACCACATAACCACTGAACCACTAAATTGTTCATAAGTGTGACTAGAATCTGGGTTGAATAAAAATTATTTTAATTAATTATCATTTAAAAAGATTCACATGAAAAATGGTAATATTTATTCTAGAAAAACTCAAAAGAGAATTCTCCCCAAAAATTCACACGACAGGTAAAAGAACCATCCTGATAAAATCTCACAAAAATCAAGTACTTGTGCAGAAAACCAGTTGTAATAAATTAATTTAAATTCTTTTAGGAGTAAATTATGGGCTGATTCTCTAAACATTACTCCAAAATGTAAAACCATGGTCAAAGTTTATTCGTTTAGTATGTTTAATTTTACAACTAGCAAATGTGTTTTATTTTTCCAGAAAGCAAAACAAAAAACCTGACTCATTCATGCATAGCACTTCATCAAATCTTTTATACTTTGTCATATTCTATGCAGCATGCATCCTATATAATAAAGTGTGATATAACTTGGTTTAGAAAAAATATTTTTCAGACATTTAAGATATTAGCAGATTATGGTCCAAGAACACTCTCCAACACAAGAAAAAACTAAGCTAGACCAGTCATGTTCTGTAACTAATAACCTTACGTCCCTGAGTTTTCTGTAGTTGCCTGCAGCATCAATCACACTGCATAAAGAACATATTGAAGAACCATTCCTAACTTTCATGAGGCTCCAAAACTTCCATACTTTGACTTAATGAGAACATTATCAAAGCCAACACTTACTTTGCAGAATACGAGAAGACAAAAGCATAGAAAAAAATCAGCATTTCTTGTAAGATTATTAATTCCACCCTAATTGATCACTTACTAGTTTCATTTTGTAGAGCAGCTTCTTCTTTTTCAATTGTTACCAGTAAGTTTTCAGTGAGGTCGGCTCTTTTGCCCACAATTGCAAATCCATTCCAGACATACATCATTTCCTGATTAAAAAAAAACAAAACCAATCAGCCAACCAAAACAAAAAGGTGAGAAAAACTCATGGAATTGCATAAATATTTAACTAAAGAGTGCCTTTGAAAAGGCTGTTGTGGAACATTTTTGAGTACATAAAATACTACCAAAGCTTGTTTTGGTACAACACATCTATGAATAGGAAAGGAAAAATTACATTGAATGTGTGTTGACAAAGTTAACCTGGGTTTTTAAGATTTGAGAGTTTTGATGCCTTTTTAATGGATTCTACTATCATGTATTTTCACAGATCTTCAGAAATTAAACTGAACAGATTTTATCAGGACAGTTTACCATCACCCACATAACACATCAGCAAAACCGGATGCTTTAGATTAAACTTGTGGTCCCTGCCACCTAAACTAAAGAAGGAGCTAAAAGTAGTTTCTTTCTGAAGGATGATAGGCAAATCTGGAATTGGCATTTGAGTGCGTTCTTGTATATACAGCATACTTATGTAAGCATGCACCCAAAAACACGCTCTAAATGCCCTAATTGATAGACAATTACCTTCCATTCAGAGCAAAACTGGAGGTAGATAAAACTTTCTGGATAAAAATGTGATTCCAGTAGGCACATCCAACATGATTTTACTATAATTTCTACAAAATTTTCTTGGAAAAAATCAAGGCAAATCCTGGAAACATATCTTCCCAGATGGCTCCATACAACAGTAAGCAATAAGCTTGTTTTGATACATTATCACATTGTAAAACTTGAGGAGAATGAGGGTTAATGCTAACCAACAAGGAGCTTGGCCAAGATCTTTACTCAGTCATTACAAACTAGAGTATCATTTGTTCTACTGTAATTGAAATTACACGTCTGAAATATGACGCCTAGTGTCATTCTGAAGCTGATACAATACATTGGTGAAAAATTTCCACTTGCATTTGTAGTGTAAATATGTACATTTTCAGACAGAGAAAAAATCTGGTTGTATCAAAGTCTGAAACAGTGTTAAGAACATCATCAACTACATCATGCTAGATTATTTCAGTTCTGTAGTCCTGTCAACTTATACTTACTGAAATCAACCATACACTATGTTTGGTTATGCTTAGTCCATGATGAAAATATTCCTAAATTAAAACAGGATGCTGGATTTGACAGCAAGACCAAATATATATATACTCACAACTTACAAGCACTCTGCTGTACAAGCCCAAGACAAATTTTACTTAATCCTCTACATGCAATTTAATACAGAATGAATTTTAGAACCAGAGGATTAATTTTCTTTGGACTCTTCTTTCTATATCAATGAGCACTAACATAAGAAATTTCTTCTCAAATTAGGTTTTTCATGCACAGTTGTTGGTAAATGATGCACATACAAAGATTTTAGCATACACATATGAAAAGTATCACTGCTGTGCACATAGAAGTGGACTGTGCAATAGTAATGACTCTGATGTTAAAATACAGGAAATTAGAATAGCATTCATAAAGTTACTTTAGCTTCTGCTTGTTTTAATCAGACTCAATACAAGGGGAATAAAAAAACACAACAAAAACCAACCACCACACTTCATTTTCATAAGAAAAACAGAAAGTACCAAAGTACTCTTTAACTTCCTAATGAGTCTAGAAGACAAGGACTAAAATCCTACCAACCTAAAGAACATTAATGCAGTTTTTTGTATGCTGAACTTTTCACATGAAAAATATGGCACTTCTTTCAGACTGCTGCTTAGTTGGTTGGTACTGTGATCCAGTCTCTAATACTTTTCACCAAAATCACATTGCATTAATGCAGTACTTCTTTAAAAAATTTAAAATGCAGCCATATAATACCTGACAATATTATTCCTTCCCTGTATAATGAACTATTCTGATTTCTTTTCTCTTTGAAAAGGATGAAAACAAAGCAAGAACAAATACCAAGGCAGGTAATATCAGCTTCACTGGTTGAGGACATGCATAGCGTCGCGCTTTCCTTACTGCAAACTTCTCAGTTGGGATAGATTTTCCTGCAATTCTCTGTTTTAGACCATCCACTTGTCTACATGAAGGGAAAATGGAAAAAAAAGAAGTTTTTTGTTGGTATTTTTTTTCATCTCATTTCAGTTAGAAAGATTTACTGTTATCCCCTAAATATAACATCTTAAAATTTTTTTACACCATGGAGACCAGAGCTGCAGGATTTATCTTTGCTGATAAAAGCAATTCTAATGCTAAAGGCAAAGAGAAAAAATGGAAAGTTTATGGTTATAAGCAAGAAGTAAGTCTAAGTCACACAAGATAAAGACATGGGGGGACAAAGAGTACACGTTCAGCTGCTTTATAAAAGTTTACCTGAATAAAGACACTATGTCTTCACCAGTCCTCTTCAAATCATCCTCTGGAAGCATACATAGAATTGCTGCCTTCTGGAATACGTATATTGCCTATTTCAAAAAGAAACAGCAACAGATTACCACATCTAATTTTCTGTGTTTAATCAATACATTAAAGACTCAAATCTCTCACCCAATTGCTGTAGCAAAGTATTCCCATAATTCTCAGGCAGATATAACTATAAAAGTTTAGTATTCCCTTTGTCACAGAACTTATGCTGTAAGTTTATTTTTAATGCATTTATATTTTTATATTAGGCAGAAGGTTAAAAGGTATCTCCTGCAAAAAACAGGAGAATTTATTATGCAAACCACTGTCAAAGAGATGAGGTTAAATGACTTAACTGTTCTAAAGTCCATTACTGTTATTATATGATCTATTACATGTAGAGACATGAAAAAAACAGAAGGAAATATCTGGGTACTGATTCAAGGAATGTTTAACTGGGTTTTGCAGGAAAAAAAAAATCCGTAATTCTATTAAAGACACTTGCATTTCGTGTTGAATATACTATTCTCTTCCTCTTTTGCCAAGAATTAGATGTATACCCTTTTTCATTAAGACAATAAAACAGTAATCTAAAGAGGAATAGATAATAATAATAATGCATAAAAGGTTATTGGCACATTGTGCTTGGTTCATACCCTGGAAAGGTTTTATAAGGAAAAGGTTATCTGATAGCCCAGCTTTTCTTGTGAGATCCTGTCCCCAGCAGCCTTTCTCATTTTGTGCCACAAAGCATCTGATGAGTAGGTGTGTGTGTTTATAAACACCAAATACAGTTTCTTTAGCCAAGTTTTACTAGTGAATATTAGAATTTGACTTGAGAGAAAAGTTTAAAGTTTTCCTATCCCTCTTCTTTCTCCCAACTTGGGTAAGCACCTCCATTTTTGGATGGGCCAAAGCATTGCTGCTTATCGTTCTGCTGCTTCAAAACATGAAATAAAAAGTCATCCTTAACCACCCAGTTAAAATAGTTTGGTCCCATTGTGTCTTTGTTCATGAGCTTCTCAGGAAGGCAAACATTACACTTATTGTGCAAAATTAGAACTGACTTTAACTGTAGAGACCACTGGTATACCACAACAATGTCCACCTGCCCATTTACCTTAGACCACCTGCTCTCTTTGCTGAGCAGGTCTGCATACCGATATGCCTGAAGCCAGTCCTGCTGGAAGGTGTAGCACCACATCAGTTCCCAGTAACAGAGATGATGAATCTGTTTCCACTCTTGCTGGGCTGCTATGCAGTCTTGGAACCTCAACTGTGCCTATGAGTGAGTAGTTAAGGAAGAATGATGAAAACTGGCTCAATTACAGCTCCATGTGAGAGCAGTGTCTAATTACAGGACAAGTTCTTACCTAGCACCCAGGTGGAAAACACCTGACAAGTAAAATGAGATAAACTTCCCCTTCAGTCTCACTTAGAGAGAGGGCTGGAATCAACATTGACAGTGAATGTGAACAGGGATAACAGCATACTGATCAGTCCAACTGATACGTAGATGAATTCATTGTTTTTCTGCCTCAGGCTAAACACTAAACAAAAATCTTAGAAAGAAAGTATCATTTACCTTTTCAAAATTTCCTTTCAGTATATCTATTCTGGCAGCATAAAATAGAATAATGGAACCCTTGAAAAGAGATGAGAAAAATAACCAGTTAGGAGTTTAAGCATAGCGAAATACATTCTTGTTACAAAATTTATTAGAAATACGCACATTTGGAAATTTCAGGAGGTAGGGTTCGAGGAGACTGTCTGCTTCCTGAAGGTTGGCTTCCCCTGTACCTAGAAAATGTAACAAACCAACCTCAATGTACTTAAAAGAATCCAAGTTTCACAGACTAAGATTTTGTTTTCACATTGCATTTGATAGATCAATGGATGATAGCTTTGAAAGCAGAATTATTTCATCATATTGTGTTTCTATAAACTAAATGCTTGTCCCAAAGATACTATGTGATTTAAAAATACTAAATGTCTGTAAATTGAAAAAAATTACATACAATATAGGAATATTTTTTAGACTGTTCCATTACTGATCCTAGTTATGTTTTTAAATCCCTTTAATTGCTTTAGCAAGACAGGAAAACATCCTCAGCTGCCTCTTCTCCTAATTTTGAACTCAGTAATGAAATACAAGTGATACTGGAAGAAATGAAGTTCTCCTTAATTTCCTGATGAGCCTGAGGGACAAGTACTAAAATACTTAAATACTAAAGAATGAGAAAATATATGGTAAAGAAGCATATAGAATTAATTATGACTTCCAGGTCTAAATGGCAAAAACAATTAGTTCTGGTTGTATAGCTTTTTTCTGGAGATAGTTTTCACAACATCTGATGTTAATTTATGGATAATGACTTTTCTGAACTTAACAATATTTTGCAATATTTAGCTGTTGAGACAGCCCTGCAAATGGAGCAAGATGTTGGTATAACGCTATCTACCCTCACTACTTCTGCAGACACAGCTTTGTCATGGATATTAATTTTAGATCATAATTAAGTATACAGCAAACTCCTACTTGGCCACAATTTTGAAATTCTGTTATAAAAATAAATCACAATATCTATCATAAGGTGTAGCATGACTGAAAAGCTACACAGTGGGTCTCACCAAGGATTAAGGAGACGTAAGTATGATAAACCAACAGGGTGAAAGTACACAGAATGGCCCTCAAACTGCTGCCAGATGCGCCTTCCCGTAGTTGGCAGAGGCCCAACTCCTAAGAAATATCACAAACACATGCAGAATTAACTATAAGTATACAGAGTTACTATCAATTTTTTTCTGGCTAATGAAAATTCAGTTTTCCTTTCAGATGTAAGTATTTCATAATTCAGTACTTATCTCAAATCCAACACAATCCTCTACCAAAAAGTTTCTGTCACAGCTAATAGCACTCAGGAAGAAGACTAATCTAACTCTTAATAAAATCATGCATTTCAGTGCTCTGGTGAAATGGGAACACCACATGAACCATGCAGACACACAGGTCTACAACCCTTCCCCACTGTGTTCTGACTCTGAACCTTTCAGAATAACATCCTTCAATCTACGTTCGGTGGAAAACTCTCTCAGCTGTTCCAGTGCTACTTGTCGGTGTGAGTCTTCCTTCACTGAAAACCCTGGCTATCCTCAATTCTCTTCCATCAAGTCAACTATTTTGAGGCTCTGACCAAAATATTACCTCTGCTGATACACCAGTGTCTAAAGACAGATCCAGATTCATGGAGCCTTACGCAGATCTTAACACATGAGACTTCCCTTATGTTTCTGTTCAGACCCCTTACATAACATCTTGACTATCTGAAGGGTATTGAGCTCACAGCTTCCCTAATCAAAAGCAGTGACTCCCCAGAAACATAATTTTGCCTCAAAACAAATATTAACAGATCGGTTTTATTGCATAGCAACTTGATGAATTATAGGAGAATTCAAGCACCACACAAAAAGAATTGTGATGATATTTCAAAATCATTCTTTTTCTTTCAGCCTTTACTGCATTTTTAGTCAGGGAAAAATGTGTATTTTGGAAGATCTTCAGCAAGAACCAGGTTTTATGGAGGAAGAAACGGAATGAACTGGTCTCTACTGAAGTCTAATTTTACAGCAGGAGAATCATATTGTGGACAATCTAACAGCAATAAGACCATATGGTGACTGCAGCTATAGTAATTTGAAGTTCAGTTGTGTGCAGTTCTGTGGGTCACCTCATTACAATTTCTTACTTGAGGTTTTTCATTTCTTAGGGGCATCAAAATAAGTTTTAAAGAGCTGTAAAATAATTACAAAACAAATTACAAATATTTTTGTCATCCATGAGAGAAAGATGTACCTAGAGTCCAGGATGACACATGATATTCAGAATTTTTTTTTCCTAAAGAAATGGGCTGGGATTTGGGGTGGAAAAATGTAGAAATATGATTCTTCCCTCAGTTACTGGTGAGGAATGTCAATTTCCAACTATATCACCTAGGAAAAAAAGTTGATATCCCCTACTTAAGGATCAGCAAAAGGAAAGGACGTTGCATTGGCAAAATCTCCTCTTAAGTAAACTGGTCCTTTCCCACGCATGTTAAAGAGTGGAGTATCACCATATGTGCTTTTATGCCTGTATCATCTAACCCATTTCTCTTTTTAACAACAGTAAAATACTGATAAACAATCAATATTATACTTCCACTGTAGAATACATGGCATTAAATCCATCCAGTCTTTTATCTGAGAAAAAATTAATTTGAAAAAGCAAGTATCAAATTGAATACCCTATTGCCAGAAAATCCAATAAATTCTAGAAGTCGGAGGATCCTTCCTGGTAAAAGTGACAGCATCTGAAATAAATTTAAAAATAAAAAGATAATTGTAAACATGTACACTTAAAAAAAAAAGTTACATTGCTATAAATGTGAACCAAAAAGGCCAGCTACTATGTTAAATGCTATTACACATTAGTAAAAAATTAGTAAAAATTTTTTACATTAGTAAAAAATTAAAACACGAAAGAACTTGAAAGTAAACATGCATGCTCAGAATTCTGATAACCATCCAGCATGAAAATAGACAGAGTCCAGCTGTGCTTCTTTAGATAATGACAGATTTTTCTATCTTCAGCTGGTTAAAATTGCTTGTAAATTGTGGGTCTTTTAGAATGAAAGTCTTATCTATTTTAGTATGACTCACAACCTACAACTACCATGTTCCTATACTATTATTTCATTTTATTGGGAGTCTCACAGAGGCTCTACTTGTTCCTCCTGTGGGAGTACTGAATCAGCAGATCAGTGAGCATAATGGTTTTTGAAATACTAGCTGTTGCTATCATCCTTTAGGCCTCTATTATAGGCATTTTTGTTCCCTCTGTAACTCCATCCTCCACATCCTACACAACAGAAAATGTACAAATATCATAACCACCTTTTCAATGAGCATTAAGAAGCAGGTTAACTTGAGGGTCAGTTTTTAGAAAGCTCCATTCACCCTAATACATTTTGCCCATCAGACACTTTTTCTGTTAAGCCTCCTACTGAGAGTACTCCATGAAGAATAGGAGAGGCAAGAACACTTATGAACACAGTTGCTTGAATTTTAAAGTCGGGTGCAGATAAACCTGAGTTCTTCTGACCATACTTAAAATTGGCCATCTCCAATCTAGAATGATACAGAAATTAACATACTGGCAGAAATCAACTTTAACCATTGCCATGACAGATGTGAAAAGGTAACTGTAGCAAATTGTAAAGAAAAGGCAATTTTCCTTTGCACAAACACAGTAAACTACTATGCATTCTTCTAACTATAATTATCTATGAGAATCTAGAGTATGTCACTGGAGCAAAAGAATGGGATACATGGGGGAGTTAAATTAAACAGTCACTCCAGGCATTTTGTAACCACAGCATTAGCATCTTTAAAAATCCTGCTACACACAGGGAGATGCAGCTTCTTTTTCACTTCAGAAATAGATGTATTAGTTATTCCCAGAGAACTAAACCGTTCAGAATAAACTAATAGAAACATCCCAGAAAGCATGCACGCCAGAAGCTAATGCTGGTTTCACATTGCATAAAACCTCCAAACCCCATCTCTCTGTTTTACAAATGCGTAAATGTTAAATCAGTTACAGTAGCACATATACAAAGAAAGACAATCCTACAGAATAACCCAATCGCCTTTTTGTAAAGAAGAAGTCATACCAAGTTGAATGCTCCAATTCCAAGATTTACTCCTCCTTCAAACTGGTAGTACGTTTCATTTTTGCTTTTGTTCCCCTGAGTCGTCTGTAGCACCTGATGACATTCCCTTGTGATGGAGGAAAAAAAGGAGGGAAGGTGAAACACAACATAGAAATTACTGATTGATGACTATGATGGATACAAAAATATTCCTTTGTGTTTTGGGAGCATTAATGCCACTCCAACTGCTTATATTACTTCTGAAGTCAAGTGTTTTCTAATAGCTTACTTGTATATTTGGTAACTTGTCCTAATTTTCAGGCCACCTTTGATAAAGTTGATCATATTTTCATCCTGGAAGAAAAAGATCTAACTGTAAAATATTGTGTGTTCATATTACACATAACACATACATAAAAATCCTCCAGCTACATATACATTTATTTATACGTTTATGTCGTTGTAAAAAACACTAAAAATGTTTTTCAGTCACTAGAAGTACCTCTAAGACTGACATTAACACTTGCTCTAAGTTGTCAGGGAAACATTTCTTTGTTGCACATTACAAATTTTAAAACTGAAGAGAGAGGTGAAAAAGAAAGTCGAAGTGTTAGTTATAGCAGAATTTGTGATGTATCTAAATGAACCAAGAAAGCTCTCCACCAGATGGTGCTGCAGGAACTGTTTCAAATATTTGGAAATGGCAATTCTGACATACACAAGGAAGCCATACAGAAACTGGCAGAAGACAAACTGAAAAATCCCTCGAACAGATGAAACTCTATTGCTGATCAAAACTACCTGCGTTATTCAATTTATGTGCTTACTAACTTCTAGGAAAACCAAAACAAAGCCACAATATACTTGCCATCAAAACTAAATTCCTGAAAAGCAAAATATCGGTTCAACAGAATGAAATATTTTCTCCTAGAATTCAAATAAAAGGGGAGGATGCTGGCATTTCAGAAATGCAAATTTAAATACTTAGGAACAGTAGATGCAACATGGAAAATGAAAAGAGCAACAAAAAAAGGCCTCAGAATGATCAACCAAAGGAAATTCTGGCTTCCATAAAAAGATTACCATTTTAAAACTCCTCATCTCTCTTGTCTGCAAGTCTGAACACCCAAATACAAGTGTTTCAGTACAAGAATTCTATTTCCCTCTGATGTTTACATTTTTGTTATCATCATCATCATCCTAACACTAATCATGGTCAGCCAAAGATGAAAAATATGAGGCAGCACAGCAATCAGCAGAGCAGGGTATTACAGTCAAAAGCAATACAGATGTGGTGTTTCAGAGAAAATATACATCTAATTTTTTTTATTATTTTATACAGTCCTAACTCACCTCCTTCAACAACATTCTTTTCATGGTTAAAACAGACTCCACCCACTGAATAAAAATAAAGAGGGTTGCTTCCACATGGCTAGTAAAGGAGCAAGCTAGTTATAGGAAAGACTAGCATTCCATTAATAGTATTTCCTGACACTTCTGGCCAAATCAAATAGTTCATAAGTCATAAGCCAAAGGAACTTAATCTGACCTTAGTATCCTATGTGCCTCGCTTCTTTCTCATAATTTATACTGGAAAAGATTATCTATAATATATATTTAATAAACACTTGTTAAACACTCACATACCTTCAAAAAGTATGAGGAACAACTCCTGTTTTCAAGAATCAAGTTTCAAATTGAATTTGAAAACTCTGTAGCATGAAGTCCCTGAATCACAACCTAAATCACTAGCACCACACAATATAAAATACCAGATCTTTCTGTGAGCTGAATTGTTACCTCAGCAATGCTAAGCATGCCCATTTTATAAGCATTCATTACTGTATTATTCCTGACACCATGTGCACACACAGCAACACGGAATTGGAAATTACACATCAGCTGAAGTTTTGTTAGCTGGAAAACATTCTACCCATTCATGCAAAAAATGACTTGCACTTTCAAACAATACACTTCCTCATACTTGAAAATATTTTTATGCAGGCACTGGACACTGTCCAATGTGATGCAAATCATTTAAACATACCACTTTGTATAAAACAGGACGTATGTTTAAAAGATGGTATGTTTATACCTTAGGATAATACCTTGGTATCTGAATATCATCTTTGGTTATTCGTTCAAAGAAAGAGACAACTTTCCTGAGCAGCACAAGATTTACCATACTTTCAATCGTTGCCATGAAATAACATTCAATAGCAAAAAATTTTTGTTTGAACATCACATCTTTTGTTGAGAAATTGACTTTACCTGTACGAAGGTGAGAGCGGCTTTCTGTAATAAGCATTCAGCATAGCAGATTTCAGCATGCATTTCCTCTATATAAGAAAGAAAAGTTATTTACTATCAGCAATGTCATTGTCAATACTGTCTTCTTGGGGTCAATGGAACAAACAAAATGCTGCCAAGACAAGAAAGAAAAAAAAAATAAAGGAAAAAAAAAAAAAAAAGCATAATTCTGCTGTTGCCATTTCAGTAACTGCTGAATAATAGCTGTAACACACAAATCCCAACAGAATTCTTCTATTTCCCTTCTTCTCAGACAAAACATTGTCAGAGCTGACCTCAGTCTATGGCAAAAGCTACTTGACATTCTGGTAGATGGGTCTCTTATAATTTTCATTGATTCTAAGCTTAACAGCCCACAATAACTCAGTCTTTCAAGCCTCCTTCCAATGTCTTACAAGAAATTTCTGTAAATGAATAGTAACCCTCACGGAGGTTCAGGCTTTTCCTACATCCACTAAGACATCATGAACAGGTTTTCACCAAGTCATGCTTAACAAACTGAAAGCCCCAGGCAGACTTTCTGTCTTCATGCAGCACTACAGTACATTTGATTTAACACACATGATACAAGTTGCTCTGCACCCATGCTGCAAGACCAGCCACATGCACAAGGCTGCTGTATGTACAGTGCATACGTGGTGAGTTTGATGTGTCCAAGTATTAAAGAGGATTCTTGTGCCAGGTTAGAAAAAAATGCATACTTGACTCTGCCTGAATCAGAAATAGGAGATCAGCATTTTCAGAGCCATGAACAATGTACTGATACCATTTCCCAAAACACCTTAAGGCAAAACAGACAAGCACAAAACTTGTTAATATATTCAGATTCCAATGCAACTAATGACAAGGATGTACTCCTCCGCATCAATGGTTCTTAAACTTTTGGGAGCTCTCTTAAGTCAAAAAAAGGAAGTTTCCCTTCAGTCCTATAATGTGTTGTGAAAGGCATTCCTTTCTTAATTCATGCATGCTCAGAGACAAAAAAAACCCATTAGCCTGAATTCTCCACTGAAGCTTTGCATTCAAATTAGAAAAGATTATATACACGATTTTTATGTTTATTACTGTAAGACACTAGTAAAGTCACAGAGTTAAGCATATTTGTATACATTGGTAGGGGTAGTTTTGAGCTTTTTTCACTTTTTTATTTTAACTGTATTATTTAACTACTTACCTTCAGTCAACTGATCCACTGTCTGTTTAGAAACTAGATTGGACAAGGATTCCACCACTGTGCTTCTTTTTCTGAATCTAAATAGGTTGTGCATGGAAGAAAAGAAAGCCATACATTTCAACACAAACCTAAATTTAATAACTGGAATTCTTAAAAACTTCCAACCAAAATTTACAGAGATTCTTACCAAAATGATCATTTGTCAACAGTTTCAATTCTCTCAGTAGTCCAAAGACTTGTATGCCTCTAGCCTAAAGAGCCTATCCAACATTAAATGCATGCTTGCAACTTCAATTAATCTACGTTAAATGTATGACAGCTTCAACCCCACTGCCACTCACTAGCTACAGAGGTGTTGCTGATGCTGAGCAAGACACTTTAACTGGAATTCAAAGTTTTATGAATTGCTTTTTTCTGTTTCTTAAACATGCACTCAAAATTAGAATGAAAAAATGAAAAGGAGCTCTGTTTTCAACAAAAATGTTTCAGTATTTTATGGTGGTTTATGCCAGATAAAATGCCAAAACAATCGCACACTTTACTTCCAAGAGATCTCAACTCACGTTTTAATTCCAAAAATTAATTTTTGGCAAAAAATTACAAACAACTCAGCGTTATGAAGAAGCTAGAGAAACAATGCTATATTCAGAAAATGAATGCACTCTGTAAGCCAAGGAGTCACTGATTATAAATACTAGCTATTAGCTTATCATTTTTGTTTACACTACACATTGACAATTGTGGGATCCTGAGAAGAAGATTATAACACTACACATTAACATAATGCACACAAGAAAAGAGTCAATTAAGACACATGTAGTTATGGTAATTCTTCAACTTTGAACATTTAATTGCCTTTCTCTTGCATTTTTATGAGTTTTGCAACAGACTAGATCAGAGTACTCATGAATTAAAGTTTACATCCTGCAGAGATGAAATCCTGTACTGCAGCTGTCTAGACTAGAGGGACATCTAATCTTCAGACACACTAAACAACATAGTTCAGATGAAACTGCAAATTGATAGCACATCCAAAAAAGATGCAGAAACTGCTGACCCCTTCTCTTCAGCATCTGATAACGTTTTCTCATTTCTTTTTTGCCATGGCTAAGATGATGATGATGACGATGTTAAATGTCTAAACTAATATTTGGCAGTCATTTTTTGAGAAATAATTGTGATAAAATAGACTAACCAATATGAAGAAGAACCAGTAAAGCAGAAATAACTTCTATTTTTCTCAGAGATTTGTTTAAACTTTAGCTTTCACAACCCATTTTCTAAGGTTTTTTTTTTTGCTGTTCAAAGAAAGCAAAATGTACAGTCCAGGTAATTTCTCATGTGAGCAACAGAAATTGCTCTTAAAATCATTAATTTTAAGGTAATCTAAACACATTTGTAACAACAACAAAAAAAACTAATTTGGTTTTCAGCAGAAACCTTAGTACAAGCTTAATTGTATTAGGCTATTCATTCAACCTTTGGAAACAACTTTTTTAAGATATTTTCATGCTGAGAGGGGACAATTCAAAATATAGGCCTTGAAACTTTTGGAAAAACAAGAAGTTACAGCTGCCAATAGCTCAGACAGTTCAAAAATGTCAGTTTATGTGTAGGTCTACACAGTGAAACAATCATTTAACTAACTGTAGTGGCTATTAATACCCACACAGGACAAGTCTGTTGTTGCCACATCACCATGTAGAAAAATATCTTCACCAGTAACGTAGTGGGACTTACTCCACCTTTACAAATTTAGACCACTCTCATACAGACAAGAGTCTGCTTTTAAAACATACAGAGAACTGGGATATGTCACAAATAATACTTTTTGGATTTAGTATCTCATAACGGTTGGGATTGCTTGGGCTCACCTTTGGCAGGTTTGCAAAGCATCTTTCATTGTAGAAATTCCCATTTGTATATCCTGCTGTTCAAAGGTCATTGCAGCTTGCATAACTAAAATAGTGCTGTATCCAAGTGCATGGTACATACTATCTTTGGACCTAGGGAAAACATGAATCTTGGGCATTTAAGCAACATTTTACATTGCAATACAAAATTAAATGCAGAGACACTTGTATTAATTTGTGAAAAGACAGAAGAATTAAGCAGGAAAGCAACAGATCTGAGAATATAATCTACAACTGTTTATTGGATAATTAGGACTTAAATAGCCTTGAATAGACATAATTTTAGCTTTCTCGACTTGTTAGAGAGAGCTCACATCTCATGAGTTTGTAATACATAAGGAAAATAAACTTCAGGGTGAGACTTCAAAAACAACATCTCCTGAGTTTTATTCTCCCTGACCTTGGAGCAAGAAAGATCCTGGTATTCCAACAGTAATATCATCTTCCACTGAGCTTAACTACAACTAATTCTAAGAGATAATATTCCTGGCCTACTGCCTTCCTCACATGAGCTCTCCAGAGCACTAAAAGCAAACACCTGATAGCTGTGTCATCCTTCGGATGTTTCATTTAAAGCTGTCTTGGAGGTTGTTCATACAACATCAACCAACACATCACTCTTTAATCTATTCTTACTAGCCCCAAACTGCAGAGCGAGAACATTACTCCACTCTACTGACATGGGCTACACATCCCTCTTGCCAACACATCCCTCAATACCACGTGCTCCTTTCAGACACAGACAAGAGAAGAATGGTGGATGGGATTCAGACCCCGGTCCTGAAGATCAGCCACTCAGACTGCCTCCCCATGAAGTCACAGGTAAGACAGGTTTCACCTGTGAACTTCTCCATATTCTTTAATTCCCTACATCTGCACTGCCATACTTTTCTTCTCAGTGGAGGAAAGGCAACAAGGGAACAAGGAAAATAGTCAGAACATTAAAAGATGAGCTTAAAGATAAGCACCAGACTCAAACATAATATAAAACATAACCAAAAGACTATTCTGGAGCTTTGCTCCAGCTTTCCTCTATTGTCAAAAGCAGTTTCATTGTACAAATTATTTGATCAAAGATGCATTGAACATGGTCTTGCTCTCCAGCCTCTCCCCTATGCGTGAGGACAGACAGCTAGAGATCAACTCTAACATCACAATTCAGTGCTTTATAAACAATGTTTGAGATGGTTTTAAAGATCCAAAAAAAATTTTTAAAAAACCACAAATATGGACAAATTTCGGAAAAAAGAGAATAAATTAAAACTACTATCTTCAGACACTTTAAATTAATCTTCAGGTACTAAATACTGTCTGTTTACAACAACTTCAGGAAATAACAGAATCTCACCATGGACGAAGTAGTTCCAGCGCTTCAGAGAACTTATTGTTTAGAAATAAGTTCAGTGCCATTGAACATTCTTCCAGAGCACACTTGAGATCCATCTTGGATGCCCTAAAAAACAGATTTTAGTTTACTCAAACTGTAAATATAAACAAAAACATTTAAAATGTCTTTTGCTTATGTAACACAGGTCTTTTGTGGTGATTTTGTTTTCATAATTTAATTTTTCAAAACCAAAGCATATGCCTAACACTTTACACAGGTGCATTGCTTATTTAAGCGATGTTTATAGCTCTGTCCTCCTAATCTTACCAGAGAAATTCTCAAAATTTATCATTGTGTCCAAGCTCTCAATCTTTCCCATCAGTACAAATGCTGTTCCAGACTCTGTGCTCATATCAGAATCTCAAAAGAGGCCACAAGACAATATTTTAATCTAAAAAAAGCAGTAAAGACACTCATACAGCAAACAGGTATACTACAAATAGTCCTGTAAGAAACCTGTAGCTATGCCAACAGCTTTTGTTCATCCCAATTCACTTCAAGTAAAAGCACTTGCACTTGCTTAAGCAGAATCCATCTCAGCAAACCCATTCTTTGGCCAGTTCTGCCCGAAATACTCAGGAGCACTCACAAATTATTCCCTAGGCTGAACCTGGGACAAACTGACAATCGTGGTAGTGACATACAGCTAGAGGCTACACAGCCATCAATGTGCACAGATGCATCTGGAAAAGATAATCTCTCTACAGCGTTAAAACAACAGGTTTAAACTAGATAATGGGCTTTCTCCAAGTACGGTTAAGCAGTGGTAAGCAACAGATCATGTCAATGAGATAAATATTTAAGTACTGACCAGAAGTGAAGAACTCTAAAGGAGGAATTTAAGAAGAGAACAACAGGGGAGTACAGCTGCTCTAAATCTAACAGTAAGACACACACAAAATAAACAGAGTGGGGTGGACATGAAAATATGACTGGACAGGGGGCTTTTTTGCCCTCCAAAGAACAGTGTTAAAACAGCTTATAAAGACCAAAACTTTTTAAAATCATTCAATTTTATTAACTAATTCCAGAAATACCATCTGCTGGCAAAAACATTCCAAATAAGTATTTTTTAACTAGATTTAAAGGCTGATTTTTTTCCTAGTACACAAGCAAGGACCTGAGTTAGTCCCTTAATAACACATTATCGCCCTGTGTGTTCCCATGCTTTTGTATCTTCTTTTCACATTTGTGTCTAATAAAACTCTTTTCACTTGGTCCATGCTTGTTAGATTACTCATTCCATTTGCTTTGCCTTTCCTGCTAGGAAGAATGGGTTAGTTGCTTTCAAAAGTTTTTCAAGAAGGTAAAAAAAAAAGGTGGGAGGAGAGTGGGGAGGGACTTTTTCCTTCCTTTAAATACCAAATTGGCACTAGTTGTCTTTAGTGGCAAAATAAAAAAAACCAACACCACCACGTCAGTAACTGAAGTTCATACCTACTAGACACCAAGAATGAGTTCTTATTTTTTCATACTTGCAGACTACAATTATTTTGTGACTAGCACTGAAGCAGTGGTCTGTTCCAGGTCTCTCCCCAAACAAATGCAAAGATCAGTACTAAGGTGTGTGGAATCTTCAAAATTACACAGGACAAATGGCCCTTTTAGTCCTCTCCTCCTTGCAGGCATGGTTACTAACTTTGTGGTGGGCCAAGAACTCTGTCAATCATGGGAACACAAAAACCCCTTGTGAGGCAATTTTCTGCTTCACAGACTATGGAGTATATGAACAGTGATCTGAAGTCAAGAGAGGGAAGAGAATGGCAAACAAGACATGTATAACCATACAGTTCATAAAACAATCTGAAGAAACACAGACCACTGGTAACTACAGGTAATTTAACAACTGATGACAGCCTTAAACACTAAGTTTCAATATACTGGTGTTCAGCCTCAAAACAGTATGCTTCCCACATGAGAAGCATCAGCAGAGAAATAATATCATAGTACTCCACCACTTCTCCAAAGGCAAGGACCAAGAGCTAAGGGCAACATTTTGTTTTCAACTGCTTTAATAAGCATAATCTTAATGAACAGAAATACGTTTTCTGTACTTGTATGTTGTAAATCTGCACACTTCCAACTCTGCAATCAGAAACTGCTGGAACTGCCACTGGACAGAACATCTCATCTTTATTTCATTTAACATATCCATGGACATGACAGCATTTTAGCTGCAGGTATGGATGGTTTGCCATTAGGCTCTCAAATCTCATCACACCACCAGCTCGAGCATCACCACAGTATATATCAGTATTTGCAAACTGATCTCATAAACCAGGATTGTATAAGGACACAAAACTATTTTCCCAGTTAAATGGGTAAGAAGCATATCTCTCCAGCACCTGGCTATCATGTTTTTTTCCCTTTATTACAGACTCGTTCCCCTGATGCTGCCTATATGTGACCAAAGTCTGCAGACAATGCAAACAGTATTCCTTAAGTTAATGTATTTAATGTTCCCTGCATCAAGCATGCTAATGACCTTACTCTGCCACTTCAGACATAAAACTTGGGAAGCTAGTTTCCTCAAACTGTTATTTCTGGTAAGTGAATCATATTCTCTACCAGAAAATTCCTCATTCCTGTTTCATTACTCTTCACATATGCTTTCTAATGTTTTCCTACATCCTGCAGCAGAAGAACATAACCAGAAGGATTTGTTTCAACTCAGATTCATAACTTGATAGTGGAATAGTCAGAAGAAAAGAGCACACTGACTCAGAAGCAACTTGGTTATCTTTGCTGGCATTTCTATGCAGTGGCTCAGAATAAGCACATTTCCTCTTCTACTCCCAAAACATCACAAACCAATTTCTACAGCAACTTACCAGACTAGCAAATGGTTCAGTCAGTAATGCTGACTCACACTCTCTTTCTGACTCATGCTGTTTTCCTTCTACCTTATTTTTTCCCCCTGTCTCCACATAATTTTCCTGGAATGGACAGGAACTTTATACACTTTAGTACATTAGATGAACGTACTCTTTAATCTAATCCAGAGCAGACTAAGTTAACGCTACTTCAGTGATGTTATTACGGATTTTACACCTAGTGATTTACTATGGATTTTACACCTGGTGTCATGGTTTAACCTCAGGGGGACAATCAAGCCCCATGCAGCAGCTCACTCACTTCCCCAGCAGTGGGATCAGGGAGAGAACTGAAGGGTAAAAGCTAGAAAACTCATGGGCTGAGATAAAGACAGTTTAATAGGGAAAGCAAAAGCCTCACACATAAGCAAAGCAAAAAAGGAACTAATTCACTGCTTTCCATGGGCAGGAAGGTGTTCAGCCATCTCCAGGATAGCAGGGGCCCTATCACAGATAACAGTGACTTGAGAAGACAAACATCATGACTACAAATGTCCACCCTTCCTCCTTCTTCCCCCAACTTTATATACTGAGCATGATGTCGTATGGTATAGAATATCCCTTTGGGGCCCAGTTTGGGTCACCTGCCCCTGCTGTTTCTCTTTCCAATCTCCCACATACATGCAGTCCCCTTGCCAGTGTGACTACACGAAAAGCAGAAAAGGCCTTAGCTGTGGGAGGTGGTGATCACGGAGGTCCCTGATCAGCAATAACAAAAATATCTCCATATTATCAACCCTATGTTCAGCACAAATCCAAAACACAGCCCCATACCAGATGCTGTGAAAAAGGTTAACTCTACCCTAGCCAAAACTAACACTTACCCACCCCTTATTCCATACCCTTTATGTCACACTTCCCAATACCCCATCACCTTCCCTACTTATCTGTTTTGATAGATATACAGACAGACATCATTCCCCTAGTCTGTGGAACACCTTTGTCAAATGTTCATAAAACGTCCACAAAAAAAAAAATTTGTTGAATCCATGCAGTCTATGACTTTGTCCTTCACCCTTGGTAACAGCCTTTTGTCTTAAGTTGCAAATATAAGATGTGGCTGGGGGTGTATGTTCTATTGCCATCTGTTAGAAGTGGGGCAGTTATCTTCTGTTAATCGGGCCACTTGCTAAAACCAGGTGGGGCAGTTTTCTTTATCTTTTCCACAACCCATCCTCCCTCCAGGAAGATCTTCTCTTAACGGGCCATCAAGATTCACTGCATGACTGATAAAATTACATCATCCCATTGAGAGATGCTCCACCCAGGGGGAGGAGCCAAGCATTCCTACCTGGATATAATCTGAGATTTGGAACACCACAGGCAGCCTTTTCCCACTGGATTCCCAGAGGAGCAGCCTTTTTCCACTGGATTCCCAGAGGAAGACCAGGCCCATCTACACTACCACTGGACCTTCAGTGGAAAACTGTACCCTTCAGGATCAATGTTTCAACAGAACATCTGTCACTCCAGTAAGAACTGCAGCCACCATTTAATCAGACTGCTACCAACACCCTGACCAACAGGGTGTCAGTTTGTATTCTGACTGTCAGTGTTGTTTATATTATTGCATTTTTATTTTTGTAGTTTTTTATTTTTCCTAATAACTGTTATTACAACTCCCATATCTTTGCCTGAGAGCCCCTTAATTTCAAAATGATAAAAACTCAGAAGGAGGGGGTTTACATTTTCCATTTCAAGAGAGGGTCCTGCCTTCCTTAGCAGACACCTGTCTTTTCAAACCAAGACAATTTCCCAACCAGGCAGCAATGTTTTGCCACAACTTAGCAGCCCAGATGGGTTTACTCTAGGTTGCCAGTTATTCTGCTTCCACTGCTGCCACCACACCCATAGGGCCACCACCCATGAATCAGTACAGAGGTTAAAAAAAAAAAAAAAAAAAAGCATTGGCCATTTCTCTCCTTCAGCAAAATCTAAGGCCAGTTGGATGGCTTTCATCTCTCCTTATTTAATCAATTCATGTTCTCCTCCAGCAATTTCTGTGACTTGTCATAGGGGACTCCATACAGCTGCTTTCCCACAAGCAGAAGGATTAATCAGTAAACAAGGCATATTGCTTCTCAGTTTCTGGGAAATTATTATATACTGGGGCCTCTTCAGCGCAAGCCTGGTGACATTCCAAAATTCTTTGGCCTTCTGGCTAGCCCATGATTAATTCCA